GAAGCTGTGCTGGGTGCAGGGGGGGAGAAGCCACAGTGGAGACCTTTCCCCCCACTCCCTCCTCAGCCAGCCTGCTGGCCGAGGAGGGAGTATGACTGGGTGACGGCCCCAGCTCCTGGCTTGGACAGAGTGAGTAAAGCTCCCATTGTGGGCTTCTCTGTAGCTAGGGGCCAAGGTGACACCCAGCCATGCCTGCTTCTCAGCTGGCCGGCTGAGGAGGGATGCTCTACCTCCCAACTGGCTCCAAATCCCCAGCTGGGCCGTGCCTGGTACTGGGGGAGGGGGGGTGGGATGGAGGGGAGTGAGGAAAGTTTATGGTAGGATACTGTTTCCCCTCCCCCACCCTGCTGGTCAAGGAAGGGGAGTGGTTGAGTGATTGCACTGGCTTGGGCAGGAGGAGTAAAAACCCCACCATGAGCATCCCCACATCTGAGAACTGTGGGGGGGGGGGGGGAATCATCTGACCATGTCCTCATCTCAGCTGGCAGGCTGGCTGGGAAGGGAGTGGGAGGTAAAATGCCCCCTGCCCCCCCCTTCAGGAAAGCGCACACTAGGGACTTACTCCCTCTGCCCAAGCTAGGAGCCAGGGCAATCACCCTGCCATGCCCCCATTCTGGCTGGTGGGCCAGCTGCGAAGAAGTAGGGGTAAAAAACATCCCCTTCACCTGGCTCTTGACCCTTAGCTGGGCTGTGCCTGATGCAGGGTGAGGGGAGCCCAAATTGGGGGCTTTACTCCCCCCACCTGAGCCAGGACGGGAAAAACACGCCCCCCCCAGCTCTAGACCCTCATCCAGGCTGTGCTCAGTACAGGGGAAAGCCTATAGTGGGAGCTTTACTTTCCCCAACCCAGCTGAGAGTCAGGCTAATTTTCCCAGCCAAGGAGGGGCAAAGGCTGGGGAATCTGCCCAGCTCCTAGCTGCCAAGCCCCCCAACCATCTCTACCCCCACAGCTGGAGGCAGGGCTACTTTTCTCTGCTACAGGAGAAAGCACAGCCTAGGCCTGCACAGCATCCTGGGATGCAGGAGAACTGTCAGTTAAATTAAATCAGGAGGGGTCTGGGACAGAAATTCCATAAACTGGTTTGACCTAAATCAGATAAGTCTGATACTACATCCATCCAGGTTTATTTTAAATCAGTTTCAGCCGTTTTCAAAGTGGTTTAAGTGTACCAAACTTCTGTTTTGTTACAGGTTTAAACCATCACTTAAACCAGTTTATATGTAACTTCTGTTCCTAGCCTGAGACATGGCAGACATGCCCCCACCATGCTCACACCTCCAATAGCCACTGTCACCCTTTCTGCCTCCTTTAGGGACAAACACCTCTTTCAGAGATCTAATGCAACCTTTAACCCTTAAGCAGGCCAATCTGCCCTGCCAAGCAGAACCTGCCAGCATGGAGTGCCATGCACCACTTCCCACCGTGCTCTCAGGTGTGCTTTGCCCAATCCTGCCTGTTCTGCAATCCTGCGAGATCCTTTTAATGGGTGTAACAAGGCAAGCACCATACAAATAGCTTAGTTTTTTTAAATGGGGTGCCACTAAATGGGGTGCCCTGAGCCTGACAAAGTTGATAAACACTCCTCTAACCCCTACTTGAACAGGTAGACATTAGACATCCTCTTCAATTTTTTTTTTCTAAACTGTTGTAATAAGCCAGTTCTGTTACTATTCAGGGCTTTCCTTGTCCTCTTCCTTGGGACATATGAAGTAAGACAGAAGTAGTATAAACACAGGGAAATCGAGGCACAGAGAGGTTAAGTTTTGCCCAAGATTTGTAGCAGGGATTAAGAACAGAACCATTATCCTGAATCCTACCTTGTTTGCTGCCTACTAAACTTTGCTTCCACTAAACTGTGTTCTCAGAAACAAGCTCTACAGATTCTCCTCAACAGTCACTTTAGAATTAGATATTGAATTGTTATCTTTCCCTTCTCTGCAATTCTGATAGTTAAAACGGCATACAGAAAGATGTCAGTCTGAGAAATACACAGCAAAATTAATTAGAAAATGATGTGGCCACCTAGGGATCCTTGTTTTCCCTGACAAAAAAATAAAATAAAAAACACAAATTCTCTAATAACCCCCCCAATCCATGATTAATATGAAAGGCCCCCCACAGCTCTCCTAGTCCTGATGGTGCCCCTCACTCCACCCCACATCCCCCACAGCATTGCTGGTGCCCTCACTCCCCACCCACAGCCCTCTGGCCATGCTTGTGCCCCTCACTTCCTCCCCCCAGCTCCCCCACCCCTGCTCCTACCCCTCACTCCCCACAACCCTCCCAGTCCTGCTGGTGCCCCTTGCCCACAGCTTCACAGATCTAATGCAACCCACAACTCCTGCTCCCCCACCCCTGCTGAAGGGGACCTCAAGGGCTATGGGGCCAGAGACCCGGGTCCACAGCCCCCTGCCTCCAGCAGAAGGTGGCAGCTGCTGTAGTAGAGCAGAGCCCAGTCCCTCCTCTGCTGCCTGCTGAGGGTTTGCGTGTGTGTTGGAGGGGGGCAGCTCCCTACCACTGCATGCACTCCCAGGGGGCAGGGGGATCTGTGTCCCCCAGATCTGTGCACAGGGTGGGGGCTGGCCTGCTACAGACTCCCACTTTGCTGCCCTCCCCTGGGGCCTGTGCAGTTCAGCGTGTGTGACCTGGCATTGCAGGGCAAAGTGGGGCTGTGCAAGAAAGCTGCTTGCTGCTGACAACTCCGTGCTGCCCTGGCAATGTGTCCCTTGTGGCGCAGCTACAGCTGGAGCAGTGGTGCGGGGTTGCATGCAGGGAATGCATTGCCAGGGCAGTGTGGAGCTCGCAGCAGCAAGCAGCTTTCCTGTGCTGCCCAACTGTTATTTGCAGCACTGGGTCGCACATGCCAGGCTGCAGAGGCCCCAGGGGAAGGCAGCAGGGTGGGAGCCCGAGCCTGAAGGAGGCAGCCTGTACCCATGCCCACCCCACACACAGATCTGGGGTGCAGAGGTCCTCCGTGCATCCAGGAATGCATGTTGCAGTGGGGAGCAGCCCCACCACCTAACCAAGCAGCAGGAAGCCTGCCCCACTTCTGCCCTGCACACAGATCTGGGGGGCACGGTTCCCCCCATTTCTTCAGGCGTGCACGCAGCAGTGGGGAGCCAGCCTTCCCTGCCCCCGGACATGCTGCCCATGGCCCTGTCCCACTCTCCACTGGGGCTCTGCAGCCATGCATTGTGGCCCCAGGCCCCAAGCCCCATACACTGCCCAGCTGGGCAGCAGTGCCAGCCCTAGCCCTGCCCAAATCTCTCCCTCCCTATGGGGGCCTCAGTCCCCACCCCTCACACACTTACCTGCAAGAGCTGCTCTCCAGGCTGCCTGGTGGCGCCCCCTGCCTCACTGCCCTCCTCCTGCTCCCTCCCAGCCCCTTGCAGGCTGGAACTCTGCCAGCCTGCAGAGGGCTCATTGCAAAACTGCAAAATCCACGGGCTTCTCTCGTAAAATGAAAAATCTAATTTGCCTCTGGTCAAAGGTAAAATCCACAGTTTGCTTCATTTTTCCATGGGAAACGTAAAACCCAGATCCCTGATGATCACACAGCAGAGTAGCTAATAAAATATTTTAGAAATCATTTGCTGTTTGTCCAAAGACACTGAGAGAGAAAATAAATCCCCTGAACATTACCTATATCATATTTACACTGATGAGAATAAAGCAAGCCTGAAGTGATGCTCATTTCAGAGTGCTTTATTGCACAGTAACCTTGAAGTGGCCGGATACACAGAAGACTCAGCCAATGGATCCTGCTTGTTATTGCACCTGTTGCTTTATTATTCAGCCAGATTGTTTAGCTTCCGAACCTGTAAACTTTCATCACACAAGCTACCCTTTCACAGTTAAACTGTGAAAAGTGAAGTTTACCCAACTCTACTTCACAGGACTTTAACTGAGCCATCATTCAGCATTTTCAAGGGGCAAAAAAATAGAAGAGGTTTAACTTGTTACTGATCTGTTGATTTTGCCCTCAACATAGCCACCAAAAAGAAAGTTATATAACCACTTTCAGAATGCTGTCCTAAAAATAGGAGTCACTGCTTGGACTAAATGTCACTGCAGTTTCTCTCTAAGACCTGGAACTGGTTGTAAGATGGGTGGAAGCATAAATATTTCCCTCACTTTAGAAGAAAGTCAAGCAGCTTCTCCTTGCAAGCCAATTGTACAAAGACATTTCTATAATTTTCATCTGTGGGGGGAGGAAAGGGGAGCCACTGTACATGTATTTCCAACTCACAACTGTTAAAATAATGCCATTTGTTCTTGCAGCTGATCCCTCATAGGGTTTCATAATCACAAACCATCATTAACCCAAAGCAGAGAGAGAAAGGTACAGAGAGGTACAGGTCCCAGTCAGGGATTTATTTTTTTCTCCATTTCTTGCATAATACTTCAATCAAAAAAAAAAAAAAGGATTTTTTTTTTAATCCATGCAATTTAACTGTTTTAGCAGTCTGCTCAAACCCAAGAAATACAGACCTTTTATATCTTGCTCATATTCATTTAGTGGTGTGCCTCTTGGAAACTTCTTATATGAGAGAAGCATGAGCATAACATAAAATACTATGAAATGAGAAGCTACTGCTTTAACATGATCAGGCACCAATTTACACTACATTGTATATAAGCTAAATAGGAATGGGTTACAACTGAGCAGTTAAGTTTGCACAAGGATTTAACTTTTGCATGTGCAGAAGCACTTACTACGAAAGAGACACAATCTGGTGTGACATGAATACTGGAGTCCTGCATTATGCCAGTGCAATATAGGAATAAATACAATTTCTTCCCCCCTCGGTTCATTCTGCAGACTTTGAAGTTAAGGAATCCCCCCTCCCCCCTCTCCTTCTAAACAGCAGTGGAAAAATGACAGAGTAAAAGAAAGGAACAAGGAAATCAAGTGTTACAACATAAAGAGCAATGCCATCTAAATATCCACCTAAAAGCATCACACTCTGCTTCAGATGAGTTATGATGATCTTTGTACCTGGAATGAACTGAGGGGTTTTCTTCAGTTCCCGCTGTCCTGGAGCTTATATATTCCAATGCAGTGATTAAATGTAGCCTCCTGCTGCTTTCAGTTCTTCCTTAGCCAAGCTGCTGCAGATGCCCATAAGAGCTCAATTTGAGAGAGCTGCGAATGGGGAGTGTGTGCCTTGCTTTGCAAGACCTCAGGCTTTGGTTGCAGATGTGAAAGGAGTACTGGAGACTCAGCACTGACTCTTCTAAGCCACTGCATGGGGATATTATCAAAGTCTAAGCTTTCTATTGGCTCTGATCACCAAACAAATCTCACCAGCCACCCCTTACCTCCCCCCTCCCTGTTTCACTCAGCGCTTGTTTCTCATCTAGCCCACAAACATTGCAGCCACACACACTTAAGTCGCTTGCTGTGTTTCTCCTTTCCTCCCCTTCAGTTTGTGGATTTACAACCTTGTGGTTAGTTCTAACTTTTTTTTTATCAGCTTTCCAATCCAAACCCTCTTGTTTACGTAGGGAAATTCGACATCTACCAACCCACAAAAAAACACTCGTTTCCTTCAGATCTTCTTCCTCCTTTTGTTGAGAGACCCGCAATGTGAAGAATGCATGAAAGTTGTGATTGTGTGTCACGCTTGACATTCAGACACATTTGTTTGCTTGACATACATACATACATGCATATATTTATAATTTCTGCTTTTCAAATTAAAAGCATACGGAGCCTAATTACCTGAGGGCTAAAATAGCAAATTCTTCAACTGAAGCAGGACAAAGTGCCTGGTCCCTCAATTTGGTTTGTTTGGTTGCTGTATTTGGGTTATTGTCCATATTTTTGTTTATCTAATACAGTGGTTTCTAATCCACATCAAATCATGGCTTTTACACAGAAAATGAAGCTGGGATGCCAAACCTCCTCTGCATCTGGGTTTATTGAATCAGTGCAACTGCAATGGCTTCTGTTTCTTCTTCTAATTTTGCTGCTGATTGTCTCATTATTTAGAGCTGTTTAAGGTGGTTTGTGGGATAAGATTCCTTCTCACCCAGGGACTGGTGAAAATGTTAGACCTGTCTTTTGGGAGAAGTGACAGTCCTTGACTTTTGGTGTGTCCCTCTGTAACAAGTGTACAATCAACACAACTAAATAGGCCCTTCAGCTTCACTCAGTACAGGAAGATGTTGTAATATTTCTTGTAAACATGTTGGCAAACTTGCCTAAGAAGATGAGAGACAGCAAAATGAATCAGTTGTAGCAGATGCATCCTTAATTAGTGCTGTGACATATATTTGATTGCTGCTGATAAATTAAGTCATGTCTGTTCCTGAAGGTACACTGGTTTCCATTAAAATTTTAGCATGTATCCATAGTTACCACATAGTGCTGTCTGAATTGTTTCCCATGGCAAAAAAATGCCATATGTAGTTGCCATTACCGATATATAGCATGCCACAATGTCTGAAATACAGGGAAATGGAGTGAGTACAATGGTAATACAACGGGGGTGGGGGGGAATGGTAAACATTGAGCATTAAATGGCACCTGTTTCTGAAGTTACTCTCTATTCAATTTTCCTTCTTCACTATACAGTGTTTATATTATTTGTCTCCTTTGATGTACTTTTTAAATTTGCATTTTAT